TTTTTTTTTCCTTTTTCCTTTTTCCTTTTCAATGTTTTCTCTCCCTTTTATCCATCTTTCTGTTGGAGGGAGAACACCATGTGCTTCTGTTTCATATGTTTTTGTATAGTTTCCTGGAAGTTTTGAGCGATATATGTCAGATAGATGTTTCCCAGCCGGGAGCTATAATAACAACTCGATACCGGTCAACCAAGTTTCAATAGAGTATTTTCGAACTAACACGAGCCACAACGGAGTCCAGTCAACACGCCATCTGTCCTCTAGTCACCAAAGGAGCCCTGGTTTGAGCCTTCGGGGCCTGAGGCAAGGTCCATCCGGCGGAATAACGGGCCTTGAGCCAACTGTGTGGTCGCCGGATCCATTTTCAACTCAATGCTTTATGATTGTTAGAAACTAGTATCCTTAAGAACAGGCCTCACACAAGGGCTGTTAGCCGTATTTGCTTTATTGGCTGCCGGCATAAGAAGCCTTGACTGCCAGGAACAGGTGAGCATAGCTAGAGCTATGAGACGCCTAACTTCATTATGAGGGCCACGTTGCAGCCAGACTCCTACGTCATTTGCCACACAAGGGTCCCATGTTATCATCGGGGTTGCTGAGCAACTGTGACAATAAATCGTTATCCAAGGTCTGCTCTGGCGGCGTAAAATTGACAGTATCACTATACATAAATTCTGTCATGTCAGATAGCGTGGAGTTTAGCTCATCCGGGCGGTCATCGGTATTAGCGAGACTCAAGGGCGAACCCCTGGCGCCACGATACACCAACTCTAGACTTTCCCCATCACCTGGAAGCAAGGATGTTGGGTTTGGGATGTAGAGAAGATCTTGCTCCGACCCTATGCTCGGCTTGCTCGGCTGGAGGCACGTATAGTCTTGATATAATTGCTCATGGGCATCAGTAATCCCCGGAAGGCTTAGAAGTGTGTTGATTATGGGGTCATCCACAACAAAGAATGGATCAGCTGTGCCTGAGCTCGGCTGCTGGTTCACCAAGAGCGCATCAGAAACTACATCTGACGATGGCATGTCCCCAGGCCGGTCAGTGGCAAAGGCGAGATCTAACAACAAGCCCTCAATATGGGGCTCAGGTGGCATCTGAAGGTGTTGAAATGCCAATTTCGCCCATTTGAGCCGTTTCTTAACGGGCCGCATCACAGTTCCACATCGTGACACCGCATCGCTTTTACAAATTTGATGAAATTTATCAGCATAATTCGCTAGCTGTTGTTTGATCGCTGTGTTTTCTTTTTGACTGTCAATCAAACCGCGGCTGAGGTGGTCATAAATATGAACTAGGGCTCTACTACACGTATCGAGCCCCAGGACAAGCATATTGATGAACGCCATGCCTCCTTCCCTCTGTACCAGCATTATACCCTTTGACGGATCTAAGGAGCGATACGAAAGGACCAGAAGTGCCGACGCAGACTGGCAGAAGGCATTTATGATCGTAGACGAAATTCTCAACGACTTTTGGTCCGTTTTATTCTGAGAGAATAGCATGTGTGTGATTATAACATGGTAGGCAATTAACAAGTAAAGTTGTGAAGGCAATGTCGTGGTTTGACTCTCCACAGCTTGTACCGCCTGGAGGAGGATGTCTCTAATCTTAGCCGACAACGTGGGGAAGTCAGCACAAGACTGAAGGAGATCGTATAACTGGTGAATATGCTGCTCCTGCCATGAGGCCTTTGGTACTCCCTTGGCAGGCATATTGAGATACAGAATATAGATGTGAGACACCGTACTGGAGATATGGCTGAGAGGCCATAGATATCGTAAGGCTTGTATCTGTGCCGGCAGTGTAGATATGTTATCGGACGCCTGGTCTAAGCGTATCAGGGCGGAGGTGGTCTCATCCCGGCAGGGAAAATCAGGGATCTCGTCGGGGCCGAAGAGCGCAAGGGCCTGATCAAATTGCATAAACGCCCAGGTGGTGGTGGTTAAGCATAACCAGTGAACATTTTGCAAGACCTCTTTTTTGACCAGGTCAATTTCAACACCATTCAATTTTACGCTCTTCATGTCGGCATTCTTCCATGTTTTTTCTAAACGTGAGGCCATATAGCACGTATAGCCCACAATGCAGGTTGCTCGCCGGGCATGACCCAAGCACAATTCTCTCCATCCTATGAGAAACAAGGCTTGTACAGTGGAGAGAGCCTCTGTGTCGCCAAGTGGTAGCTGGCGCTGTTTGATTTGGATGGAGGCAAACTCAGACAACTTCTGGGATTCATCGCGTATAGCTCCATGTTGCTCGCTGTCACCACTTAAAACATGACACGCATCAGCCAAAATGATTGCCAATAGAGCCTCGTCCACTGTTCCATCCTTAACTTCACTAGTAAGCAAGCTTTTTGATACCAGTGGCGACAGAGGATGCACTGAAAACCACATGTCAATCAACTGCAAGATGCGGTGCTTTCCTAGAGCTGTTAGAGGGTTATGATACTGTGGAGGGTCGAACATGGACGGTGTAGTGTCAGCCACTAGAGTAGCAATAAAGAAGTTTCGGTTGTTCTCCGGCTGTCCACATCTCAAAGAGCCAACGCGCAGAAGTAGCATTTCCACCATCTCTTGGGCAATGGAGGATAAGAGCCCTTCATAATTTACTTGATGGTGTGTAGGATGACTGTATGTATACGACTGCTGTTGACGTCTCTGGAAAGAACTCATAGACAACTGAAGAAGATTGGATTCCGATCCAGTCTTGCTGATAAAGTAATCATCAAACATCTGCTCTAGGTCATTGCCCAAAGTGTGAACCTTCTCGAGGGCCACTGATGCGTGCACCACCGAATCCTCGCTCAGAACGCCGGACACTGCAGTATTAACCAACGAAATGGACTGCTTCCTGTCGCGCTTGCTGACACCCGGGTTAAGGGTGCACTTGTCCTCCGTTCCTTTGCGCTTTGGTCGGCCCTTGCGGGCTTCAGGGCCGTAAATGCAATTAATATTACGGTCTCGGCAAGCTTTGCAGATACGTCCTCCAGAACATCTAATCTTTCGGCCTCGGCAAAAGCGGCAGCTCTGTCGTAGCCTGGATGTCTCTGTATGAGCGTGTCAGTTGAAGAACTCTTCGTAGAGTAGGAAGCTATAACAAAAAAAATGGCCAGGATCAAGGCGTATTCATACTAATCTGGGTCTCCATATCGAGGGTGTCTATGAAGTGTGTTGCCGCTTGGTCACTTCCAGAGAAGTATGATTCATGAATCTAGTGGCGTTGGTGTTGAGAAATTGTTGACGCTCAACCTCGGATGTGCAAGCTGGCCGAAGTGATAATCAACGAGAATCATATGTTTCACATCTGGTCGAATCTGCCTAGAGCAATAGTCAAACAACGAGACAGGCAAAACGAAGATAAGGGTGTCTAAATCAGATGAATCTGGTAGACCCTCAGTCTGATTGCATTTGGTCGTAACGTGATTTATCTCCGAAGCCAAACTCGGCTAGTCGCTTTCTTTGGTGCCAACACAGCAATCCTCGATCATTTAGTATTACTCGTACAACAAGATCCTATATTCTTACAAATAATCTAAGAGGAATGATGAATTCTGGGCCTTATAGTCTACCCTCCATTGCTCCGTCCGTCAACTGCGGTCATCCAGGAATGTCTTCAATGTGACCTACAAGAAACCGAACACAAAGGAAGTTATATTTGAGACTCAGCATCGCCTCTGGATCTGCTACTGATATTAGAAGGGTGTCTTCTGTGCTATAGAAGACTACGCTTGTATACCCGCTTGATGGCCCTCCGCTTTGCATGTAAGAGCAAATACTGATATCTGTTGGACCTGCTTATTTTTGGAATAATTTCTCTGCTTAAGATAAATGGGATGTTGAAAAGCAGATATTGGCTATATGCCGTCCCATGTCGTTTAGGTAAATTGCTGCAGTAAAAATGTTGGACTACCCAGTGAGCTATTAGAACATGCTTTCGGTCACAGTACTGAATCGAGTCCAGATGTGGAGAGTCACGAGGGAATGTAGACCTGTGCTATTTTCTCTTGTTCTATTTGATTTTCAAGAACTTCTGAAGAAGGGCTCTACTGAGTCTGGCAGACTGGGGTATGGTATGCAATGTTAGAAGCTGTCACCTCATACCATCTTGGCGGAATGTCGCGCGAGAAGGTCAGCTGCGCTGCATGCTATGGTCATTAGGCAGTTAATCCATACTCCATGACTCCTCAAATGAAACAGAACCCAGTATTTATTGACCAACGCCTACCCCTCGAGACCCTGAGTACAAAGTGCTACCTGCATCTACTTTCCACCCCGCCTTCACGATGTCTGACCCTTATGCCCAACACCCACACCACGCTCCTCCTGGTCCTGGACCCGAGGCGAACTTTTACGCGCCCGCAGACAGCCTGTACCAAAATCCACCGTATGATTATGAGTCTCAGCATCCTCATGCGCAGCAATTTCCTCCAAATCAAAACTACCAGCATGGCTCGCAGTATGACTTAGCGCAAACGCCGAGGTCTTATCCCCCCCAAATGTCGGGCCCGCAACAGGACTACCTCAACCCAGCTTCTGCGGAAGGCTTTGAGCAAGAAAGAAACCGTCGAGGAAGTAACGCTGATTATTAGTACGCTGCCATTTTATAACATTCCGATGAGTTCACACTGAAGTATTCCAGTAACGCGCCCACTGACGAACAAGATCGGGACTATCCACCAAGCTCTCATCCCCAAGAAGCCAACAACACTTCCGACAACGAGGGAACTGAGCGCAACCTAGCAGGGGCGCTTGCCGGTGGTGCTGGAGGCTATTATTTGGGACACCAAAGTAACCATGGCCTTCTAGGAGCTGTGGGTGGTGCGATACTAGGTAACTTCGTGGGAGACAAGATGGAGGATAAACCAGATGATGATGAGCATGATCATCACCACCACCACCATCACCATGGACAGCATCATCACCGTCACAAACATCATCATGGTCATCGCCATCATAGTCATCATCGTCATCATCGCAGTCATTCTCGGCACAGTAGCCATAGCGGCAGCTACTGATTGGATACCCTCCTGGATCATATTTCTTCGATCGCCTGAGTGATATTTGCTGCTCTTTGATGTTGGTGCGTGCACTTTTATGGGAAAATTGTTAGAAGATAAACATTCGGAATATTTTGTAACGCTTAACGACTCGATTACACTGGTCCTGAGTATGATGCCTCTATCTATATGTTAGTAATTTAGTCTATCGTACAATAAATTCCTCTGGCATTTATCTGAAGCGACGCGTGGTGAAGCTTTTACTTTGCTCCTTATGCTCTCCTGGGTTTCGTAAAGCAGATGCTCAGGGAAGCGGGAATTGGCAAGTTCTATGCGACGTTTTCCAATTGTTCAGTTCCTGCAACGATCAAATTTGGCGAGGAAGTGAAGAGTCGATCGGATCATCGCTTTTTGCTTTTTTAAAACTTGGAACTGATGTCATTCCGGCTATGTCGGATGAAGATAGAAACGTAGATTCGAACGGAGAGGACAACTTTGAATGAGATTGCAAGCAGGAAAGCCATAACCATAGGTGACATTGTTCACTTGCAAGTAGAATAAATATATCATAGGCCTGAGGGACATCCTCGTAAAATTCCGAGCTAGTTGCCAACTCCCGGTCATTGTTTTTATCCGAAGTAGTCTGATGTGTAAATCATGAGTATAAAAGCTGCCTATCCAAGCGATATCATATCTTATCGACGAAACGGTTTACTTTTCCCCACAAAGTAAATCTTTCTTAGTGATGGGTGCAATGCTCCACATTTATTCTGTCGCATATCACCCGCGTGAGTTTGGTCAAAGTAACTCTAAGCTTGAGAAGAAAACAGATATATGTAGTATGTCTATTCTAGACTTCTTGACATTGGAGCCACGTCACGGAAGGTATCCCACGGTCACGGTTCCCCGCCGCCGGGGATCCCGTGACCCCATTGGAAGATCATCCGCCGCCGGAAACCGGAGCGGAGCAGGGTTTCACGATCCAGTAGGAGCCAATCAGGAGGCGGAGATATGGAAGTCTTATCAGAGTCGGTCATCATCGCCGATCTTCAGCTCAGCCCTTGACTCGTGACCTAATCGGGGAGTGTGACTCGTTCTGCGTGCCATATCTGAATCAGGCCAAACCCCCTTGGACTCCTCCTACTCCTATCTCCTTTCCTCCTCTTGCTTTCTCCGTCTTTGTACTCTCCTTTTATTCCCCTTTGTCCTTGCAGAACGAGTCTCACACCGCATAGACCGGCACTCAGTACCCCGTGGGACCCTCGCCTATTCATCTGAACATCTCGCCGTGTCGTGACTTTCTCCTCTCCGTTTCAAGTCGTCTAGACCAGTTGTCCAATATTTCGGTGGAAATCAACGAATCGAGAATATGCCGCCTCCTTTAATACAGCCCCTGACACAAGCGCTACCGCAGCATTGTGAGCCGTCTTCGCCCTTTTTCGCTGCCATTTCCGCACATCTACACACGTGCATACCTACGCCGCTCGCTCTCATCTCATCAGTGTTGGGCACCCTCAGCATCGTCTCCTGGCTGTTTGCACAGCTCCCACAGATATACAAGAATGTCCAGTTGCAGTCTACGTCAGGCTTGTCCATTTTCTTTCTTGTGGAGTGGTGCTTGGGAGATACTAGCAACTTGATCGGTGCTATACTCACTCGGCAAGCTACTTGGCAAGTCATCATTGCAAGTTACTATGTCCTGGTCGATGTTACACTCGTCTTCCAGTTTTTCTGGTACACACATATCAAAGGACGTCAGGATGACTACGCTAGTCTCTCACACTCACATCATGAGGGCCGGACCGGGGGTGTATTAGAAGGGGTATCCTTTTCCGAGAATGACTCGGTCAACCATGCACCTTCAGAGACCACAGTCAACTCAGACGCGAAGGATGTGCAAGGTCGCAAAGAACCTATCTTCGGTTCTTATAATGGCCAGGTTCCGTCGTACTCTAATGAGAAGCTGAGCTCATCCCGTCGGTCCATGGTCAGAAAAAGCAGTGGCCCCAGCCTGCCTATTGCCTCTACGCGCACAGTTCTTTTAGCATCGATGCTCTGCGCCGTTGTGGCCAACGCTGCACCAACGGAGCCATCCACCGAACCGCACCCCTATTTCCTCAGCCTGGAGTTCTTTGGCGCCCTTTTCTCGTGGATGTCAACAGTCCTATATCTTTTCTCCCGCCCACCTCAATTATACAAGAATTACAAACGCAAGAGCACATCCGGCCTGTCTCCGCTACTCTTCATGGCCGCATTCAGCGGAAACTTCTTCTACTCCACGTCACTCCTCACAAACCCCAACGCCTGGTACGACTACCCTCCGTACGGCGGCGGCGGATGGGCTGACTCCGACGGCAACAACCGCGCCGAATGGCTAGGCAGAGCTATCCCCTTCTTCCTGGGGGCATTCGGCGTCCTCTTCTTTGACGGCTTCATGGGCGTGCAATTCCTGATGTACGGCACGCGAGATGACGAGTCCATTATCGAGATCGAAGATCCGAAGTGCGGACGCAGTCGCTGGATGCGAGTCCGCGGCTGGATGAGAGGCTGGATCCCCTCCGTGTCCCCTACCCGGCAAGCCCACCACCACCGTACTCCATCAGAAAGCCAGGCGCTTCTAGAAGAAGATTGTGATAGATACGGTACAGTTTAAATGATTAACTAGACTTCATGTCGTGTAATCATCTAGAACTTTCTGTTTTCTTTACATTCATTTTACCTTTCTCGACTGCGTTAAGCAGGTACGATTTCTTTATGACTTCATGACGATATTTCGGTGTGTGGGGTTTACTGCTTCTTATCGTTTCAAATTCTCCGGTTTTCACAGGTTCATTCTCCATCGTTCGGCGCTTTTGTTTTAGTTGTTCTTCTATATATCCTTTGGACGTTATTGGATTCAGGAATGGGCTGGGCTTAAGACTGAGGTTGGAGATACCTCTAGATGGTTATCATAGCAACAGAAGATGGCATAAGGTCACAAACCATCATTCAGTCGGCGTACAGGACTCATTATATTTTCTGGACTCCAGGGTTTACTTTGAGGTGTTTGGTTACGGATAGATATCTGCATACGGGGGTGCATATATAGCATAAGCCTAAGGTACTCGAATACTATTTGACTTATTGGAGCAACGTACATGACCTCATCACATTAAATTCCTAGCTATATATATATGAAGATACAAATGGGTTCAATAAGAATGTATTAACAATCATCTACGTGTAAACGTGCATATATGCCAACGAAGCGATCCGTTGCGCCCCCACCGCTCATCAAACTCATTAGGGTACAAGTGTGTGGCCCCGTGCTTTCCAACAATAACAAGCTTGGTCTTGTCCCTTCCTCCAGCACTTGGTGGGGGGAGTGAACCAGCGGATGTCGATAAGGAGACAGCGAAGGGAAGGGGCCAGAAGAAAAGAAAAAGTGGCAAAAACGCCACCAGGGGTACAAGGTCCGGTCAACCCCTCTGTCACACGGACACGGTGTAGTGAACAGGTGCGCTCGTGCAAGTTTGCTGTCCGGTAGTTAATGTTTCAAACGGCGTACCGATGGCTTGGTCAGAAATTCGTGATTTTCTTGCCGAGGCCTGTAACCATTCCACGTCATGTATGTGGAGGGGAAAACGTATAAGAATGCAGAGACAACCCAAGAGTGAGTGTCTAATGATACACAGCAAGCGTGAGGTAGTAATGGTTCGATCAGCCTGTGATGCGGCATGACCAGCATCAACCGAATCTGTAGGCCAACCCTTTAAACGTATATGTAACAATACCGAATGCAATCATGACGAACTAATACAACGGGCCTTTGGCGTCCTGGACACCGCGCCTGATAACGTCCTCGATACGCCACCGCGGAGGAGCAACAGGATCTCGCTTCCGGTGCCATTCCTTCTCCATCTCTGGAGGAGGGGTCGCGTCCTCATTCGATGTGAGGCTCCGCCGGCAACACCAGTCGAGAATTTGAGTTGCAGGACATTGCCAATCTCGTCACAAGCGGTTAATACCCGGTCGAGGTCTTCCTTAGTATGCGCGGCAGAAACGCAGAAACGAGCACGGGAGGAGACCAAGGGTGTAGCAGGATAGCCGACAACGACAACAGAAATCTTTCGTTTGAGCATTTCATGGGAGAAGGCCGGCATCTTTGCGGGGTTGAACAGCAGCACTGGGATAATTGGTGAATCGTCGTGGCCGTACACTATAAAGCCAAGACGTTTCAGACCCAGACGAAGGTATCGGGAGTTGAAGGCCAAACGCTGCAGTCGCTCTTCGCCTTGACCTGGAATGATTTCGCCGTTGATGATACGAAGAGCAGACGAGATTTGGGACAAGATTGCTGGAGCTGGCGATTCTCCGTAGATAACTCCAGAATTCGCTGCACGAAGCTGATCGATCATATTCTTGTCGGCAGCAATATACCCACCATTAGCACCGAAAGACTTTGTGAGGGTCCCCATGAGAATATCCACTTCTTCTGTATCGATACCGAAATAGTCACAAACACCTCGGCCTCTCGGTCCAATGGCACCAATTGAGTGAGCCTCATCAACAAAAAGATGGAACTTGTAGCGCCGTTTCAAAGTAATCAAGCCTGGGAGGTTGCACATCGACCCTTCCATAGAATAAAGACCTTCCACAACGACCAAGATCTTCTTCCAGGGGCGATGAGTACGGGGCTGACCCTGACTGATAGCCTCTCGAAGCCTATTCTCCAGGTCCTTCATATCGTTGTGCTTGAACATACCGATAGATGCCCCAGAAAGACGTGCACCGAAGCGGATTGACGCGTGATTCAGCTCATCGGAGATGATTAGGTCGCCTTTGCCGACCAGAGCGGGGAAAATGTTTGCATTAGTGCCGAATCCCATAGAGAAGACCATCGACGCTTCCTTGCCCACGAACTTGGCGACAAGATCCTCAACTTCCATGTGAAGATCTTGTGTGCCAACCTCCGCTCGGGTGCTAGGAGCAGTGATGCCATATTTCCTGATTGACTCCTCGGCGAGGTCTGCACATGGACCTTCAGACTGCGCAAAACCAAGGTAGTTGTACGAGCTCAGGTTCAGCGTATCGGTGGTGGTTCCGGTGAAGTAGAAGTGCTTGTTGTGATCGTCGGTTGCACGGTCGATCAGGGTGATGTATCTCCCGGGTACACCCGTAACAGGGCGCTCAAAACAATCATTAATGCGCAGCTTGAGACGACGGACGTAGAAATTGTCGAAGTCGCTGTTGAGGGCACCATATCCATTCCGGGGTTTCAAGTGTCTGTAATTCTCTTCACGGAAGCGTTTTCCGAAGAAGTCACGGACATGTCCAAATGCAATTAGGATTAGGTAACTAATGTAGGTGGTAAGAAGGTAATAATAGGGCGGTTCATCCATTATCGGCTCGGGAAAGACACCACCAGGATGTTGACTGGAATACCGGTGGCTGGGATGGCCGATGGTGCCAAATTGCGCGTTTGCCTTGGCCTGGCGACGAGCCTCCTCAGGCGAGGGGGGTTGAAAGAGCGTGGTCGGCGGTTCGTCCATATTGGGGTTGCCCGCGGTAGCAGTAGAGAGAGAAATAGTCGGTAAGGACAGTGAAGCCGAGCTGATCGAAGCAGAATGAGCGTTCCCACTAGCTCCCCTGGCGGTCGCGTTCGCAGACTGAGAGTCGGATTTGGACTTAGGGGAGGTTGAGAATAATTGGCTCAGAAGACTAGGTTTGATTGTGGGCGCCTTAAAGGCGATACCGCCCTTTCCAGAGTTGGACGAGGTGGACTGCGCGTTGGAGGGGTCGTTGGCGGAAGAGTGGACGGATCGACGAGGCATTGCAAGGAAACCGCCAGTCGGAAACAACCAATTTCGCAGGAACACCGATGTGGTGTGGAGAGAAACTTCTACCGCAGTCCTGGAAGGGAGAGGGAAAATAGAAGCTACTTGAGGAAAAGAGGCAACGAGACTCCTGACGCGAGTGTTGTGCTTGTTGACCAGTTCTCGTTCACTTGCCAATGTCTCAGAAAGTACTAGGACAGCGACGACGGTCTGAAGTATCCACGGGAAAGCAGTCAGCCACAATCCAGACCAAGTGTGTAAAACACTTGTGCAAATAGTCAACAGATGCGAGGGAGGAATGGAAGGAAGACCAAGACTGGAGGGCGGTATACAAAGACAGGAGAGAAAATGAGGGTGAGATGCAAATGCAACTCCGAGCAAGCCGGTGATTGATGGTCCTGTAATTTCAGGTGGTAACGTAAGGCACAGACCTTTTGCACGTGGGAACTGGAAGGGCACGGAGCCCAATCGCAAATTCAATCTCTTGTCCTGGCCCAGATTAATTGACGCCTATCGCGATGAGACAGTAAAGAGAAGAAGAAAGAAAGAGTCAGTATTATGAATTAGCTGAAAAGACCATCAACCGCAATTAATCCCTCCCCGATGGATCCCAGCGTTGGGAGGGAAAATAAAAGGACTTTTTCAAGAGTGGATCGTCCAGACCAAATGGTATCCAACAGGGACCCATAGTATCGTACGGTATGGTCCCATTGCCCCTGCATCATTTTACAAGCTGGTTCACCCAGGAATATGAAGTTATGATACGGTAAGATACCGGCCCCTGAAGCACCGATCTTGTTCTTTTCTTTTTTTATTCCCTCAATTCTCATCTAAACTAACTACTATCTTACTAGGTAGTCAGTAGTAATCTTACTACTCCGTAGTTAGTTAGTTAGTTACTACTTTGGAATATGTAATTAAAACCGCCCCAGAAAGGGGCAACGCAAGGCGAATACGACAGAGTCAGGTTTTTCACTTTTCAATCAAAGACCATACAAACAGTGGCTATCTTTTGATTACTTCAAGTATATACACCCATACATTCATACTACCAGTACTAGTACTCCGTACATATGCGACACTGCCAGCAAACCATGTGCCATATCTTGATGCGCATACGCAGTACGTAGTTACTGGAGATAACATTGACTAACAGAAAGCTGTGTCATTTTGCCACAACGCACAAGGTCGGAGCTTCCGTTGTGCAGAAGAAAATCATGACGAGAAAATACCCAGCTAGAGATCTATTTTGATCTAGTAATAGTAATAAGCATTGGAATTGAGTCGGTCGCCTTCTATCTAGGGTAAGGCGGGGTTTTTTGACTGCCTCTTCTCCGGAATTTCCCGCCCCCACGATCCCCGATTAGACCCTTGACCATTGCCTAGACTGGCCATGTAGATTCGCCTTCGGAGTCCTCTGTACCAGTCATTTCTATTTCGCAACTAGGTCTGGAAGTTAGTGATTAACTCAATCGTACTCCGTGCCGAAGCTGGCCGATCCATATTTCAAATCGAACCATTTCTCAACACCGAGGTACAGTACAATAGTGCCTGTCACCCAGCAAACGATGACTGATTCCCTCTCCACAATTAGAACAAATTTTTGATTGAGGGGTATTGTAATTCATTAGGAACATACCGATCATAATCGCTTCCATCCATCATGTCTTCAAATGGAGTTTCTTCCGGTTCGAAAGAACTATGGCGGCATAGTTCTCCGCAGGCACGCAGATATATGACTTTATGATGAAGATAAACGCAGAGCACGGTCTGTCTTTGAAGAGCTACGATGACCTTTGGCGTTGGAGTGTCTCGGAGCCTGCACTGTTCTGGGAGCGGATATGGCACTACACAGCGATCAAGTCTCATAAACCATATGACCGTGTAAGTGTTTGCAACTCTCGTGTCATGGCTCCTTTGGTTACCCAGCAGCAAAGCCTCTTCTCCTTCTGACAAGTAGTACAGGTCCTCGACTCTGATCAAGATCTCTTCCCTAGACCCAACTTCTTCGAGGGTAGTAGACTGAACTTCGCTGAGAATCTTCTCTACCCAGCTAGCGCGCTCGGTGAGAATGAGGTGGCGATAATCGCTGCTACGGAGTCGGAACGAGAGTATGTTTCATGGAAAGAGCTGCGTGAACGCGTCCGGCAATGTGTCAACTCCCTAAAGGAAGCGGGCCTACAGTCCGGGGATCGTGTGGCGGGGTTTCTAGGCAATCATACCAATACCGTTGTTGCTATGCTGGCGACAGCTTCCATAGGAGCATTCTGGACCGGCGTCTCCCCAGACACGGGTGTGCACGCAGTGTTAGAGCGTTTGAAACAGATAGAACCGAAGATTCTATTCGCTGACAATGCCTCATTATATAATGGCAAAGTGCATGGGGCAGAGGCCAAAATCCGACAAATTGTTCCAGGACTGCCAAACCTGGAGCTGCTTGTTGTATTCGAGACAATCAAGTCACACCGGATCAATCTTGAGGAGCTGTCACCTGTTCAGGGAAAGGTATCTACGTACGAGTCTTTCCTCTCTGCCGCCAGCAACCCTTCGGCTCCTCTCGAATTTGCAAGCTTAGAGCCTGGCCACCCTGTCTATATATTATACTCTTCCGGTACGACAGGGGCACCTAAGCCTATTGTTCATGGATCGCTTGGAACCTTGCTGCAGCATAAAAAGGAACACATGCTCCATTGCGATATTCGCCCTGGAGACCGCTTGTTCTACTTTACTACTGTCACTTGGATGATGTGGCATTGGTTGGTCTCCGGGCTGGCTAGTGGTGCCACCATCGTTCTGTACGATGGTTCCCCCTTTCGACCATTTGACCCTGAAGGCGGGAATGGAGAGATGGCCATGCCACGTCTAATTGATGAATTGAAGATAACCCACTTTGGAACTTCGGCAAAGTACCTGTCTATCCTGGAGCAAGCTTCCCTGAACCCGCGAAAGCACCCCCATCGGCCGGTAACGCTGCAAACCCTGAGAGCGATATTCAGCACTGGCTCTCCGCTGGCGCCCTCCACATTTGAGTACGTCTACTCATCTTTTCACCCTGATATTATGCTGGGTTCAATCACTGGCGGAACTGATATTCTGTCCTTGTTTTGTTCCTGCTGCCCTATCTTGCCGGTTCGCAAGGGTGAGATTCAATGTCGCTGTCTAGCCATGGCCGTTTCTGTATACGACTACGCAGGCAACGACATTAGCGCTTCTGGCGAACCAGGCGATCTCGTCTGTACAAAGCCTTTCCCTGCACAGCCGGTCATGTTCTGGCCACCTGGGGCTGTTGGTGCAGAGAAATACCGCAAGAGTTATTTTGATGTTTTCGGACCATCGGTCTGGCATCATGGAGACTTCGTGCGCTTGGATCCTCAGACTGGAGGGGTAGTCATGCTAGGTCGGAGTGATGGCGTCCTGAAACCGGCCGGAGTTAGGTTTGGAAGCGCAGAAATCTACAATATTCTGCTCAAGCACTTTGCAGAGGAAGTGGAGGACTCTTTGTGCATTGGACGGAGGCGAGACGGAATTGATGCAGATGAGACTGTCGTCCTTTTCGTGAAGCTAGCCTCGCAGGAAACGACCATACCGCAGGAGCTCGCGGCACGTATTCAAGCCACTATCCGCAAGGAGCTCAGCCCTCGGCATGTCCCAGGTATAGTGGACGCTTGTCCAGAGATTCCAGTCACGTCCAATGGCAAGAAAGTCGAGAATGCCGTGAAACAGATTTTGTGCGGCCTGAATATCAAGATCGGCGCCAGTGTTGCGAATGCCTCTTGCCTTGACTGGTATAGAGCATGGGCTACGGCGAATCCGTAACAGGCTCAGCTGAGATAGATCTACAATTGGTTGCACGGCCATGAAAATAGATTAATCGGTAGAACTAGAGGTTATGTGATAGATGTGGGCGTGGCTTAAAAGCAATTCATTGTTTCAGACTTGGTCGTACAGTATAAATGACGACTCCATAAAAGACGTAGCCGAGCAAATAGACATGAAAAAAAAGAGGCCTTCTATGCTATTGCCACACCTAGTTTGAAGATCTAGACTAAGTCGACTTATAAAACGAAAGAATAATTTCCAGTCGACGTCATTTTAGTTGGTTTTGATTAAGGATGAAAACAGGCCGGATTAGATAAGCCATGGGATCTCGGCTTTCATCCAAATCCTTGCGGTGGTCTCCGGAAAACAGCTCTCTCCGACAACACAAGGAGCACCTGAATTCAATCGCCTCCGAACCTATTGAATTCAAGATTGACAATATGCGTCGCTCAGTATTGCGGGCAGTTGAGTCCGCGAAACCACTCTCTCGCGCCTCTCGTTCCGTTTCAAGGAGCTTCGCTACTGTCAACGAGGCCGGTTCCAAGGTAATGCCGAAATGTTGGGTGTTCGTTTGGTCTGATCTTCTCGACTAACTCATGTCTTTGCGCAATGCTATAGGATCCTGCTGAGCTCGACCAGATCACCACCTTGCCCAATGGAATTCGTGTCGCTACTGAATCTTTGCCAGGACCCTTCTCTGGTGTTGGAGTTTACGTCGACGCCGGTTCCCGATACGAGGATGAGAGCCTACGAGGAGTTAGCCACATTATGGATCGACTAGCATTCAAGTCGACCAACAAACGGTCTGGCGACGAGATGCTTGAAGTTCTTGAGGGTCTTGGAGGTAACATTCAGTGCGCCTCTTCGCGAGAGTCGCTGATGTACCAGTCCGCCAGTTTCAACTCGGCTGTCCCAACGACTCTGGGCCTTTTGGCTGAGACAATTCGTGATCCGCTCATCACAGAAGAGGAGGTGCTCCAGCAGCTGGGTACTGCTGAGTATGAGATTGGTGAGATCTGGGCCAAGCCAGAGCTAATTCTGCCGGAGCTGGTACATATGGCCGCCTACAAGGACAACACATTGGGAAACCCTCTGTTATGCCCGGAGGAAAGACTAGGAGAGATCAACAAGGCGGTTGTGGATAAATATCGTGAAGTATTCTTCAACCCTGACAGGATGGTTGTTGCCTTCGCCGGTGTGCCGCATGATGTAGCTGTCAAGCTCACGGAGCAGTACTTCGGTGACATGCAAGGACAAAAATCTAACAAGGGTCCTGTTCTATCGGGAACCGGCATTGAAACTACTTTGTCGAACTCCAGCTCGGCGGTCGAAGAAGGGCAAGTGCCCACAATTCCCCAGTTCACGCCGTCGTCCACCACATCGACTACTCCTGCATCCCCAAAGTCCGGGTCCGGTCTCCTCTCAAAACTTCCATTCCTCAAGAATCTTTCCGGGTCGCAGAATGGCTCCGTGTCGCCATTGGATCCCTCCTTGGTGGAACCGTCAACGTTCAACTTGACACGTCCTTCTCATTATACTGGCGGTTTCCTTTCTCTTCCTCCAATTCCTCCTCCGGCGAACCCCATGCTTCCTCGCTTGAGCCATATCCATCTCGCCTTTGAGGCTCTTCCCATCTCCAACCCTGACATCTATGCTCTCGCGACCCTCCAGACACTGCTCGGTGGTGGTGGATCATTCTCCGCAGGCGGTCCTGGAAAGGGTATGTACTCACGCCTTTACACAAACGTGCTGAACCAGCATGGATGGGTTGAGAGCTGTATCGCTTTCAATCATAGTTACACCGACAGCGGAATTTTCGGAATCTCCGCCTCATGCAGTCCGACACGGACGCCTGAGATGCTTGAGGTCATGTGCCGCGAACTGCAGGCACTGACTCTTGACAACGGTTACTCTGCCTTGCAGGCGCAGGAAGTCAACCGTGCAAAGAACCAACTCCGCTCCTCTCTTCTCATGAACCTGGAGTCACGAATGGTCGAATTGGAGGACCTTGGACGCCAGGTTCAGGTGCATGGCCGGAAGGTTGGTGTGAAAGAGATGTGCGATCATATCGATGCATTGACCGTGGAGGATCTGCGCCGGGTTGCCCGACAGGTTTTCGGCGGTAACGTCCAGAACAAGGGACAAGGTACCGGCAGGCCAACTGTGGTTCTGCAGGAGGGCGAACTGGAGGGATATAACTTCGTTCCTTCCCATGGGAGGAGATCCAAGAAAGGATCGCCAGATGGAAGCTGGGAAGAAGATGAATGAAGTGAAAGCTAGAGAAGAAATACTCTACGGAATAGATAGAAGCCGCTGCTTATTGTATAGTATAGTTAAGAGAAGGGCGTGATGCCCGACATTTTTCTTCCCTCTATGTAATTAAAATGAATAACATCAAAACATGTATTCTTGGGCGCCGTTTTTACTATATCACTCATCTATCTTTAATTGCCTGGCCAGGTAAGGTAGAGGTCTTCTATGGGCTGTAGTATCAGCGCCTATTGGGGCCGAAGGTCATTGCCGCTTTTAGCTCCGTTTGGCTCGGGAAAAAAGTTGGTACGGAACGATGTCGAATCCGCAATCCTCTCCATTTACCCATCAATTTCCGTCACCTCTCAATTTCAATTCCATCCAATACCGCAACGCCGTCAATTTGCCTCGCCCATTCATATACTTTATAATCTCCCATCCAATTAATAACCTATAGTCAAGATGGTTCAGCTCCAAGAAGTCGAGGACGAGCACTACGCCCAGGAGAAGCCCCAGGCCACCAAGAACAACGTCCTTCTGGCCTCGGATGACGAGGATGACGACTACACTGATACCGGTTAGTACTCTAGTGCATTCCCTCGGATTCAGCGGTGTCGAGGCTATCTTCCTGTGTGTGTGTGTGTGTGTGAGACGGTACAAGCTTGCTCCCAGCCCGTGTTTCCGGCGGCACTTGCTGCGCCGACCACACTGCTGGCCCAAACACACCGCGTGGCCTTCCTGATTCCGACTTGGAGACCACATTTTTTAACCGATGCTCTAACATGTATAACGAATCTAGAGTCTGAGATCTCCGAGGACTCCGATGTCGAGCTCGATGGCGAGACCTTCTACGAGCGTCTGTCCGCTCTGAAAGATATCATCCCTCCCTCCGCCCGCCGCCAGGTCAACAGCACAGTTTCCTCTATCACCTCATTCACAAAGTCCAGTCTCATGTTCAGCGGTAGGGCACTCTGGGTTATCAGCACCAGTGCCTTCCTTGTCGGTATCCCATTCGCGCTCGCCTATGCGGAGGAGGAGCAGTATGTACAGATGGAGCGTGAGCAGGGCATGATCAAGGGTGCCAACGAGGTAGGTCATATCTGAAATTTTTTGCTATTATGCATTTCCAATGCCTTGTTATCGCCATTACCGCCATAATTCACCTTATCTTCCGGTTGCGCCCGAAAGCCGAGACGCGGTGAAAACTCTTTTACCTTTTTGACGATCACGCCAACAGGCCTACAACATTCATATTTGAAATTATCGTCATTGTTCCTGTTTCTTGAAGTCTTGTTTTTGAAAACTTAAACCGTACATGGATGCTGATCAAGTCATTTCTGCAGATGCTCACCCCCGGAGCGATCTCCGAGGAGCAGAAGCAGGCTCAACCTACTCTGTAAATGGACATCGCTAGCGAAGGCAAAGACTGCAACAGGTGTCAATGATCAACCATTTACAGCCTTAGCCTATAGTCTATGCTCGAACCGCCTGTTGCTTTAGAGCCTGCTGTACGCCATCGGTCTGCCTGGGGCAGATCAGTGTGACAACAATGACCCTGTCTGGTGTTCCCGATATACGCAAATCGAACCACGCGTCAAATAGATTTGAAAACAGTAAAATTATTAAAAACTGCAATGCATGACCACACAATCCGCATGCGTTCTGAAAAGGGTATACAAAGCATCCGATTGAACAATCGCCTGCGATTTCCAAAATATAATTTATGGGTGGGCCGGCGCGGCAATAAAAAGAATGGGCTTAATGGTTGGGGGAATGGCTTTCATCCATCTGTCATTTCGGAGTCTTCGATCCTTCTATGTACCTTTTTTCTTCTCCCCTCATGCCTCTGTTTCTGGAAGTCCTGGAGCGGGCAATGCATGTATTTGTATAACTCATACTGATTCCTTTTCTTTTTCGTTTCGCTGATGTCGTTTGTTACTTATTTTGGTCAACGTATGCCTAGATAATGGAACGTGAATGATTCTAGAGGCATGATTGTAAATAGTACTGGACTATCATCCAAGAAGCGTGTAAAGCTATGTAAGCTGAAGCTTGTATCAAGCGAGAAAATAGCTAAAGGCAAAAGAAGAAGCAGAATCAAGGAAAAGACGTTCGAATGAAAATTCGTATCAAAGGCCATGCCAGACCTGGGGTATCAACCGAACGTACAAAGGAATTCCATCGGGGTAGTAAGCAAGAAGCAGAGAGATAAAGGATGACATGGGTGAGTCATGAATCCAGGTGTATGTACATGGCGTAAGTTTGAGGGGCAAAAAAGATAATACCAATCAAAAGGGGGCCTCACAAGGCCCGTAGTAGATAGTATCTCAAGTAAAGATATCGACAGGATGAATTCGAAGAATAATAAAGCAACTTGGATAAGGTACTATCCAAGCGTCTATATAGATATCAGTCTGAATTTTATGGAGAGGACGAAGGTGAGAATTTGATAGATTGAACATACCACTGATTCTCGAGCGGTTCTGAGGTTGATATGGAAGTCTCGCCAGAGCTTCTTTATCTCACCCTCGTAAACCATCAATCCGACAGCTTCAGCGGCCCTTTTCGCCTTTTTCTTCTGGCTCCAGCGGTTCCGCCTAGACATTTCCCTGTCGGACATGTAGCCCATTCGTTCAAGATGGTCTACTACCCATTCATTAAGGTGGAAGCGCCAGTGGATAAGAGTGTGGGCCATAGCAGCTCTGTTTTTGCAATGTCTGGATGTTTATGTGTGAGCTATGCTTCAGGGGGGGGGGGTACAGAGTGAATGGTATCAGACGTACCTTCCTAGCAAGAATCGAGTGTTCTCATCGGGGAGAACATGCCCATCTCGGTCCCGTTCTTGTCCATCTTCTTCGGTGTCACTGTTCTCGTCGGACAGCGGCTCAAACGTCTCCAATGAGTATGCTTTTCCGTATAGTTTCATGTCAGAGGAGGCCGGGTGGCCGGATCGATTGCAGGCATCGCAAGGGTGGTTCTCCAGCGTTGGGTACCCGGTAACTTCCAAATGAGGCCTTGCCATGAGGGCGCTGCGGAAGTTGGCATTCCATACCGAGGAAATTAACTGTGATCCAGTCCGGCCTTTGACCTCATCTTCTAATTTTGAAAATGCGACTTGGTAGACTGGGCTAGAGCGCTCAAAGGCTGGATTAAGTTGGTTAAATACCATCCATTCCACTGCGTCTTGGAAGTAATCTTTTAGTTGCTTGTATGAATGACGGGAGAATTCGAAAGGCATATCCGGGAGACTGCTCGGTGCACCGAGAGTCCCATCTTCTAGAACAAAATCATCTTCATAACGATCAAGATCTTCATCGCTTGCTACAGATGATTCAACGTCACTATCCTCTTTTTCTTGACGGAAACGAGGTTGTGGAATAGTGCTTTCGCCCTCACTTTCATCCTCGCTTTCTGATGCGCTTTGCGGAGTCTCTGGGCTTTCGTCATCGGTTTCCCTTTCACCAGCTCTCCGACGGCGTAACGCTTCTAGATGTTGCTGTCTTTGGGCTCGCGCAGAATTGGCCAGCCTTCCTCTGGTTCGTGTTTCTTTCACCACTAGCAAAACGGTCAATAGTTAAGAAAAATAGGTGCCGAATCAAAGATATGTAGACCTACCTGAGTCTTGAAGATCTTGAAGGTCCTCCCTGAGATCTAGCTCGTCTTGATCCAAGTTTTGTTCCGGTGTCCGTGGTGGCTGAGCATTGATGGCCCTCCTTCGTTTTCTTGCCGGGGTTGCAATAGGTCCTTCGTCAGAATCGTCATCATCCAGAATAACAGTAGGCTGCTGTGCCGGGCCTCGTCGTAATTTCCGTCGAGGCCGAGAGATTATATCTTCAACGTCACTATTGTCGGACCTCACAGATGGTGAGGGATTTTGAGATGGGGAATCTGCGATGTCGGATGGGGTCTGAGATCTCTTCCGCTTCAAAGCTCGCGACTCCCTTACTTTTCGAGCACTGGTAGGAGCTTCTTCATCATCGCTTTCGCTCTCTTGGCGGAGAGGCACCTTGGTCTCGGAAGTAGAAGGCTGTCGTAATTCATCTGCAAATTCTCCATGGAGTTAGGATAAGATACCACCACAGTTTAAGACTTATTTTACCGGTGCTCTTTTCCTTTTCCTTCTCTTTCTCTTCCTTTCCCTTCTTGTCCTTTTTCTTCTTTTTCTCCTTTTTCTCCTTCTTCTTATTCTTCTTCTTTTTCGTAGGGGTGAGGCTTTCGGAAGTTTCTGCTTTCGATATGGAGCCTTGCTGGTCTGCTGAGGCCTTCTTCACGAACGGAACAGGCGACATGCTTCTGCTCGATGGCCCGCTTAGTAGGGACCGAGTACTGCGGACAGTGGGCATTGACGGATGGCCATAGCGCAGAGTAGCTTTGCGGTCACTCTTCTCATTGGGATCCTCGGCAGAATCTTGCGGCAGGTCTATCGGAGCAAAAGAAAGTCGCGTCTGCTTTGCTCTTTTACCATAAGTGCGGGGCATCAGTGACAGAACAGGTGAGTAACACCGGATCTGCTTGGGGGCCTGTATGTAATCAAGGTACGAAGATGAATACCAGGGTGTAGTCGAGTGGATCCTGAAAAGGAGGAGTTAAAGGCGAATGAATGAAGCTATTCGATCGAGCAGTCTGATGATCTCTCAAGCGCGATGGACCGCGTCGCTTCGTCACGAGAACACGTGATTCCATTTGGCCCGAATTGGTTGTGGTAGAGACTCAGATTCATCTCACTTGAGGATTCTATTCCTTGGAGGATTAGAGAAGTTTCAAAATTTCGGAGGGAAAGTGAGAGGATAAATAGGGAGCATCGCACTTGCTTGTATCACTTTAGCGGTTGAGATTTGGCACAGCCTAACCCATACTTATTCGCTTTACTCTTGGCTGAATAGGCACTTACTGACCACTGTTGGGTTCACTGTTGAGTTTTATCAACAGGAGACAGTTTCCCCCATTTGTTTCTTTCTTGAAGCTGTACGCAGCTTTATAGGGAGCTCCTAGGCTGATAGGAACTCTCTGCATACTCTCTTGGTGACTGGGTACTTACATACTCTATGGATGTACTTTCTAGAATATATAGATGAGTCGGGTTTTGTGGCTTCAAAGCATGGCAGCAAAAGTTAGTACCTACAATCATATCTGAAGGTCAAGGCGCACTTTCTCCATGTAGAGTATGGGGCTCTGAAGCGTAGTTTCCTGATTCCTCATAGTGAACCGCAACTACGACTTCCTCTGTTCCCTATCAAGACCTCAGTCGTTAGGTCTCAAACAAGGATCTACCGAAGTACTCGCTCTATTTTAAAAGTACTGTTACTCATTGGAATTGCATTTTGTCATGTATTGCGAACGATGTTTCGTTGCATTCCTACATGCATTATTGAATCTGACTTCCATTAGGCCCAGTTCAGTTCCTTGTTTCGATATGGACAGTCGAGGGGCTGCGCCATTCTGCATTGAGTGTACTCCTAGCACATTGACTAATACCACATCTACCAACGTATACCAGTTGGGGTTGAGTTGTGCAATATCCCTCAACTGTACGTTGGTGTTGGAATCGGCACCGGTCCTTTTAGTGAACTTAAGTGGCATAGCATCTCCAAAACCTGAAGTCAACCCCCCTCTCAGCGGGGCACTCGTGCTGCCAGTCTTTCAAGTGAGACTAACAAACTCACAAGGATGTGCATGCAGCTTAGAAAAGCTCATATCCATGAACTCAGATGACCCCGTACAGCTAAGGTATCATTCATCATCTGGCCTGGTACAGGAATATAACTCACATAAGTCTTTATCAAGGCAAGATGGTCTACAACGGATACATGCAAGTCGGACCAGAGCTAGTGAGCCATATCCAGCCGCTAGACCAGACAGTACAGCTCAAGTCTATGTCGGAAATCTTGAAAGTCGCCTGACAGTTATTCGCGACTGGATTATACGGATCTTTACGGCCAACACCACCTTGAACAATCCCTACATAAAGAGGGAAGCTTGGAAAAGGTCTATTCGACAGAAGTTCCACGATTTGAGGTTGAACTGTCAAGACAGGATTTGTCGAGGATATAACTTGGAGAAGGTTTGTACCTCAAAGAGCATGTCTATAGCAGAAAAGGATGCTTGCACTGCATGTTACCCACGAAAGAACCTGAGACTTATAGGAGATCGATGCAATGTGCACAGAACAGTGGTGTACCAAGTCCTTTATCGGGCTTGCATGTTGCTGGGATTTCTCGCAATGGTAGCTGTTATTTTGTATATGGTGCGTTCTTACAGGCGCTCGCGCAGAAGCCGAGCATCTAGGAATCTGGCAGCCGATACCTTTATATCTTCGGGTCTGCTACCTATGGCCACAACGACTTCGATTTCTGCATCCCCTTATAGTGGTTTAGGTCTGCGGACAGAACACAACCCTACTATGAGCGACACCCAGTACTCCAGAGCAAATCTCTCCATGACAGAGAGAAGGCTCAGACGTCTTGGTCTCTTTAATAGGGAGCCTCGCAAGGGGGTACGGGATGTTTTCGATCTAGAGTCGCACGGGTCCATCGCTGAGGGAAGCGGGATATTGAAGGAGAGGGTTCCTGTATTGCCTCGAGTCTCAAATGCAAGCCTTCGGAGACATTGTGCGACCAAGAACATGAAGCAAGGACCCAGGGGACCTAGTGATGAAGGCAATGGGAGTCGCAGTGGCTAAACTATGGGCACAATCATAGCAATACCTTCCAGACACAAGGACTATTTCCCGTTTAGCTACTTGCCTTACTTGCTTGGCCCTAGTCAGGCAGTGGATGGCGAAATTGAAGTCAGTAGGACCAGGGCGTTAGATTAGTAGTAGTTTTTGCCAGTATGGATATTAGGCTGAATAGGAGAATTTAGAAATTAGAGTAGGATGGTTCATGTGACCCCCTTGTGACTTCCCTTCTTCGGCCATGTGAATCCAGATCCTCCTCAGCATTTCGTACTTTCCACCGTCTCCTCTTTACCATCCATTCCTTTCCCTTTTATTAGTATCCCGGTTTTATTCAACCATCATGGGCCCCACCCCCATCTTCAATTGGTGGATTCCTTCACCTTCACTCCTAGTCCGGCCGCGTTGCCGCTGATTCGTGGAAACGTTTTGACGGATGTCTTTCGATGGCCGAGAATTTCCTCGAATCTCGACCCCGGATTTCCCCAGACTCCCCCGTCCCATTCTACTGATGCCCCAGCACATCGCTTCATTCGACTTTTCCCCGGATACCCCACCACTTAGATTCCTGAGTGTTCGTTATCAAAACTGGGCCAGCATGCTAGTGCCGCCGGGAAGGATTGGTCGAGCTCGCTTGGCTCTTAACGTGGCTGGAGGGCTGCAGCTATCACGGTTGTGTCCCGTGGTTCTAATACGAATATAGTCGTCTCGTCGTCTGGTTGCCTTGTCGTTCTTTCTATCAACTACCTGACGAGTCGTATCATTATATATACCCGAGGGTGGCAGTGGACGAATTCCCAATTGACCCCCTTTCTCTCATATGAAGTTTCCTACTATCTCCCCATAGACTTCAGTCAGTTACTGGGAACAGGTGACTCTTAGACCTGTCATAGTCTGATATTATTATCGAAGCTGCAACGCAGCAACCATGGCGTTCAAAATCATGGGCTCCAAAAGAGCCTATAACTGGTCCGTACATACCAGTCGCAGTCAGAATCAATACTTACTTGGGAGATTCTAGGTATATCTCCTGTGTCGCAGCAGCATGCATGGTCCTTTATGGATATGATGCATCAGTATACAACTCCGTACAAGGCTCGAAAAACTGGGTCGTCTATTTCAATGACCCGGATGACAACATGATCGGAGCTGTCAATACAGCTTATACTGTGGGTGCCATCTTTGGTGGTTTCTTCTTGGGAGGACCCACAGCAGACTTTCTTGGTCGTAAATTTGGAATGGCAATCGGTTGTGTCATGGTGATCGCTTCCACGTTCATGCAGACCTTCGCTCCTCGTGGTAACATTGCGTGCTTCCTTGCTGGGCGATGCATCATCGGTGTCGGCCAAGGTATTGCTCTTAGTAAGTCGCTTTGCTCTACATATCACTTAACCAGACGTTGAAGGCTGACTTCTCGACCGTACAGCTGCGGGTCCTATCTACATTGGCGAGCTTGCCCCGGCTGAGATTCGTGGGAAGATCATGACCTTCTGGCAAATGTTCTACTCTGTTGGTTCCTTTATCTGTTTTTGGGTGAACTATGGGTGCACAGAGCACAAGGAGAACCTGGGTGAATGGGACTGGAAGATGGTTGTTATCTTTCAACTCTTAGTTCCTTGCTTGATCCTAGCACTTATGCCGACCATTCCAGGCTCTCCACGATGGCAAGTGCCATGATGCCGATAAAGTTGTCTGTCTACTAACTATTTGTCAGGTACATTCAACGGCACAACGACGTTGAGAAAGCCCGTAAGGCTCTCCAAAAAGTTCGCGAACCTGATGAGGTCGAGGAAGAACTCCTGAAAATCCGCGAAGCTATTGAGTACGAAAAAGAGGCCATCTCTGGAAGCTACTCTGCGCTGTGGAAAGACAAGTCTCTCCGCAAGCGTATGGCTCTCGCTCTGGTCATCAATGCCGGCCAGCAGATCACCGGACAGGGCACACTGAATACATACTCTACCAAGATCTACCAAAAGGTGTTTCCCAGCGCTGGCCAGATTGCTCTCATCAATGCTCTCAATGCGACCTTTGGTATTATTTTCACGCTCAATGCTGTTTGGATCATTGATCGATTTGGGCGCAAATTTCTTCTAATTGTTGGTGGCATCGGTATGGGAATCTGCATGATCATCGTTGCAGCAGTCGAGACCGAAACCCCATCAATTGGTGCTCCCGGCTCAGACGTCAAGAGCACACCCGTCGGCATATCGATCGTATTCTTACTCTTCCTGTTCATCTTCTTTTGTATGTCCCCGTGAAACATAGACGACCATGTCGACCGCTAACGTTTGTTCCAGATAAACCTTCCTGGGGAGCTACTGTGTGGATTTGGACATCTGAGATTTTCTCTATGAATGTTAGAGCCCAAGCTGTGGGAATGGCATCTCAGACACAGAACGTCGCCAATGCCATCTTCCAACAGTTCTTTCCAACTTTCCTCAACAACTGCGGCTTCTACGCCTTCTATATGTTTGCGGGTATCAACTTTCTCCTAGCAGTGTTTGTGTACTTCTTCATCCCCGAGACCAAGCAGGTTCCTCTGGAAGAGATTGATGCTCTCTTTGGTGGCGCCAACCACGTCACACACGGCGAAGACCTTGTGATGGGTGAGAAGCAACTACAGGTGACGCAGTCGAACACGGGTAATGAAAAGGCCGAAGCAGTCACGATCGAGAATGCCCCGGCACGGCGGCACTGATATCTTGCTATAATATGTAACCTTATGGGTCTTCCGTTCTGTGTTTGAATGGGGTCTTGACGTCTCTTTGAGCAGTCAATATTGGGAGGGAGATTGTCTTGTACGTTTGCTTTCACTTAAAATAGCTATAGTATGCTATACCAGAAAGACGAAAGCATCAAACTTAATGTCTTTAAAACGATGTACTTGTAAAAACCAACCATGTGGAACAGCCCCATATTTTTATGCCATCCTCGAATACAGACGTGGGGAACCATGAAGGATGTGGGGGGCCTTAAGGATTGTTTCTTTTCTTTCTCTTCTCATTCTCGCCTTTTTATACACGAATAAACTCTCAAGTCTCAAGTCTCCCTCATATTTTCATTCTCAGTCAGATATAGTTTAATGCTTGCTCTTTGGTTGAACTTGAGCGCTCCAGGGTAGTTATGTAGGACCTCCATACGTCGCTATACCAGACATCTATTTAAGCATGCTAAGCATACAGTTTCCCTCTTGGCGAAGTTAATCTTTTGGATCTGCGTCGATGGCACATAAATGGCATGTTTGCAACCTTCATGAACTGGGTAGATTTATACTTGCCCGTAGTCATGCCAGATCTGTAAATGCATAAAAATGATCGACTTTTTTTTAGACCTAGTCTTAACATTACCAATATCCTCCATATAAAAAATATTACACAAATACCTCCCATACCAACCCAAAAGACTCCAAGCCCCCAATCTAATATAAAATAATATAATAACCTCAAGTCATGACCTTCGTCAGATGAAACACAACCACATAACGTCGCAATTACGTATAGCCCAATCCCCTAAACCACATCATCGCCACCAAAATGTGCCGACTTCTTCCCCCGTGCGGGATTTCGCGCTTCCGCAGCATGCGATACCATTACCTCCGTGGTGCACATGATACCCTCCGGGCCGGTGGGCGATAGGATATACTCTTCGCTGGAGTTGCTGCCATCGTTTCCGGGGTAGGTGGTGGTTGTGGTTGTGGTTGTTGTCGCGAAGTGTCGGGAGGATGGGAGCTTCTGATCTGCCTCGACTTCGATGCGGCTTTGGGGCGCGCTGTGGAGGGTTTGAGATTGACCTTGGCGGGAGCGGGAGAGGGAGCGGAGTCGGTATTGTTTGCTGCCGTAGGTGTTGTAGGGGCGGGTCTGGAGTGGGAGCCATAGCTGCCGAGGACTTGCTTGAAGAGGGGTTTTAAGGTTGGGAGACTGCCAGCGATGATACCCATGTTGGATTCGACGCTGGAACGGCGTATGTGTTAGTTTGGTGAGGGGTGGTGAAGGATGGTTCTACGTACACGACCCAAATTGTGAGTGTGGAATAGTCCCAGAGGAAATCGCCCGTGCGGCCGTAGTTGGGGAGGACTGAGAGTTTGACAAATGCGGCGGCGCAGGCACTGGAGGAGACAATGTTAGAAGATTTGTTCTTAGACAGGCTACAAGGAACGAAGACTTACAAGATCCCCAGACCCAGAATACAAACCAGCGAGGCTTTGACCCGGCGATTCACCTGAAGGTGTCTGTTACGTATCCTAGCGTTAGCGCTCTGGCATTTGGCTACTGAAACCTATCAAGACACACCTTAACATAAAGGCCGGGAGGATAGCGAAGATCAGATCCGTCAAAATATTCAGCGCTGTTAACGTTAGGCAACGTGACATTAAATCAAGTATGAAGTTCTGGTTGGATCGTGTTCGTACCAGTATTGGTATAGCTCAACTCCAGCAATTGCGTTGGGGTAAAACATTTCGACTTTACCGACATGTCCCAGATACTCCGGATATCTTTACATTGGAAAATGAGGGTCTGTACGCGGGTTAGACATTTCCACCGTGTCTGGCATCGAGGAAGAGGGCGCCTGGCTCGTACCAAGAAGCAAATCGTTGTATAGAGGAGCATGAGCACTGCAAACAGATCATGCGCGTCAGAATAACCCCGTGAGCAGTAAGGAGCCTCAGCGTACCAATTATAACCCATATGAAGATCTTATAGCCCTTTCGCGGGGCAAAGCGCAAGAGGAACAGCCCAATGGAGATCTTGACGAGGCCGATCGCCCACATGTAGATGCCCTGAGTGGCGAAGTTCAAATGCATTGCAGTGGTGGCCGTGTCCTTGACATATGCTGTATGTCGCCCTGCACCATAGATAACTTCAGGTATTATAATAGCCCATCCAGCGAGAGACTAAAGTGAGGACGTCAGAATTGATGATGCAACGCAAGTGTTTCTGCATCTTACGAGCATCATGGTTAATATCATGGTATAATCCTGGATGCTGGTCAGCTTATTCATGTAATCCTAGAGCCTGAGAAATTGCTTACATCTAGGCCAACATTCCGAATGATAAACAATCGAACGTACATTCGTGCCATCACTGTGAGCAATGCGAATACGGTCGTAACCGTTGTGGCCGCAAGTATTCGAGGCCCTTGATTCTCATCCGGCAAGCCAGCGCCTCCAGGATGGGCGCTGTCAGACATGACAGCGTATCGCGCGGGCACCCCTATCACCGAGGGATCATCGAAAAAACGGTCCTGGAGACTGGACACGAGGTCGGCGAAGACGGACATCGATGGAGCTTATAGCATGGACTTTGATCCACGAAGATGAAGATCGCCAGGTTCTGTCGTACGAACCCAGAGACTTTTGCATGTCGAATTGGGAACTCAAAGTTGAGCGATGCATAAAACTGAGAAATCAAAAAAACGTGGCTCGGCCTGTGTTCGATTCGAGAGTATATCCGAAGCTTCCATGGCAAAGTCTAGAGTCCACTCAGTTCGTGGTTAACCATTAGTCTACCAACTAGCAGGAACAGCCTATTCCTGGCCAAGTCCGATTCATCTGTCTCAAACTATCTTCGTTCCTGGTTTCCGTTTGTCATCTCGGCTAAATCTCAAATATTACTCTGGAGCAGCATCGCTGTATCGGGTCGAGAGAAGGGCCCGACTGATTCATGGTTTCACACCCCTGCACAATCGATATACTGCGGTCGAAACCTGGCCAATGAGATAGGCACTGGCGATAGTAGACTCGTACTTTGTGATACTAAGAAGGGCTAGGGCAAATGGGTCAAGTCCGGAATGACCGCCAGGTGGGTCATCGAGTGATTGTACCATCCGCAAACGCCAGGCCACAGTCCAAGTGGATAGCCCAGACTATTGGGAATTTGGGATTCCTCAAGGCTCAGCACTATCGACCAGCGCCACGAGGGGCATTCTCGTATAGTATTGGAGCTGCCTCGACTCTCTGAGAGGTACCCTCATATGGCAGACTGCCGCAATCTCCGTCAGTGGAGCGTATCGCGGCTCCTGACTTGTGGACGACTCTCCAGTTAGGGCCAATGTGCAGATTAGCGACATCTTCCACGAGTTGATTAAAGTTCTGACTGGGGACTCCGAGGCCAAGGAGTCAAGTTCCCGCCCAAAAATAAGGCACAATACTCTACTTGCATTGAGTGAAACAATTGCAGCACAATCGATATAACGGTTATGCTGATCCCTTCCAATCGTGAAGGCATTCGATCATGATTTTGTGCTGAGATCTTCAGGGTACGATCGGTGGAGAGCAAGGACGGGATTCAAACTTGGATCACAAGCTGACCCAATAAATGGGGGTTGGGTCGGAAGTTGGCACAACTGTGAGGTCGGAAGGACGGAAGATTATTGGGAAGTTGGGAGATTGGGAGATCCACCCGGGTCACCGAGTCCCGAACCCTAATTAAATCGTCCAACTCCAAAGTTTGACTGGAGTCACTGGACAGTCACTGGACCCCGAGGGATATTTTCACTTACGTACAACTACATCCAATGTCCTCTGCACTAACGACTTCATGTCATTACTGTCATGCATTAGGGTATAAAGTTCATTCCCCCTTGCTCTCCACACGCCGCATAATACAACTACATCCCTCTGTTAGAAAAGAACAACGATTGTGTGAGAGAGAGAGAAGACGTCAAACCCCATCACCATCAGCACAGATCAATGCCGAGGTCCAACGCTCACTCATATTTTGGAGTCCTGCGAGGCTCCACTTGGCTGTCCTCCCCAAATTAGGACATTGCTGCGCAATAAATCTCTATTCGCTGCAACGGTCAACGCAGGGTGGCAGTCGTATCCTGGAACGGCTCCACTCACCGGGAGTGGAGTCAAGCCCAAGTCCAGCCAGCATCGCCGTCGATGGTTTTAACTTTCATGCAATATCAATGCTTTCCGGCCCTTCCCACCAGCACGAAGAGCACCGGATGGTCCTGACTAATCCTTTCTCCTGAGCCAGACTCAGCCAGTCGCTTCACCCCGACAGGAAATCAGGGCTTTTGTCCTTTTTTTGCCGGTCATCCGAGAACTAGCTGCAGCAATGGGGCCTTCGAGGAGCTGAACCACCACTCAGGGCGAACGAGATCAATATCAAGAAATGGTACGATAGCTGGATGCATACTTAGCTCGGAAATTTCAACACTTCGCATGGTAATTCGTGCATTTGTGCGTCTTCGGGACTCTCGCGGCATCGTAGATAGGCCCCCAACTCGGCCGTGGCCAAAAGCTTTATATTGACTATCATTCCCGAATCCGTTGCGCTTCTGCCAGTCCCCCTTCTCAACCCATCTTCACCCTCAAGAGTCTCAAAATGGTCGCCCTTCAGGCTCTCAGTCTGGGCTTGCTGGCTTCGCAAGCCTTGGCCATCCCTGCTGCCTCTCAGCAGGCTGCTACTGCTACTCTGCCTACCACGCGTCCAGCTCAACTGCGGTCGCCTCATCCCAGCTCGACCAGCTGGCCGACTTTGCGTATAACGTCACCACCGACAGCGTCGCCGGCGGCTCCGAGAGCAAGCGTGGGGGCTGTAACTTGCAGAATCTCCGCATCCGCCGCGACTGGAGGGCCTTCTCCAAGGCCCAGAAGAAGGACTACATCAACTCCGTCCTGTGCCTTCAGAAGCTGCCAGCACGCACCCCGGCTGACGTGGCCCCCGGTGCCAGAACTCGTTATGATGACTTCGTAGCCACCCACATCAATCAGACCCAGATCATTCACTACACGGTATGTCACCAAAGAGGCGGTCTTCCATAAGATGACATGAGATTGACCATTCCATAGGGTACTTTCTTGGCTTGGCATCGCTACTTCACCTATGAGTTCGAGCAGGCGCTGCGTGATGAGTGCAGCTACACCGGCGATTTCCCGTGAGTATAGCTAAGCATTCGTCTCGGGTTTCAATGCACAAAACTAACGATAAACCCAGCTACTGGAACTGGGGTGCCGACGCCGATAACATGGAGAAGTCTCAAGTCTTCGACGGCAGCGAGACCTCAATGTCAGGCAACGGCGAGTTCATCCCCAACCAGGAGAACATCCAGCTGCTCCTCGGTAACTACCCAGCCGTCGAACTGCCCCCCGGCAGCGGCGGCGGCTGCGTCACCAGCGGTCCATTCAAGGACTACAAGCTGAACCTGGGCCCGGCCGCTTTGTCCCTGCCTGGCGGAAACATGACCGCAGCTGCCAACCCCCTCGCCTATAACCCCCGCTGCATGAAGCGCTCCCTCACCACTGAGATCCTGCAGCGATACAACACCTTCCCCAAGATCGTGGAGCTCATCCTCGGCAACGACGACGTTTGGGACTTCCAGATGACCATGCAGGGCATTCCCGGCAGCGGCTCCATCGGCGTGCACGGCGGTGGCCACTACTCCATGGGCGGCGACCCCGGTCGCGACGTTTACGTGAGCCCCGGCGATGTGGCCTTCTGGCTTCACCACGGCATGATTGACCGCGTGTGGTGGATCTGGCAGAACCTGGACCTCCGGAAGCGCCAGAACGCCATCTCCGGCACCGGTACCTTCATGAACAATCCCGCCTCGCCTAACACGACTCTGGACACCGTTATCGATATCGGCTATGCCAATGGCGGGCCCATCGCGATGCGCGATATCATGAGCACCACTGCTGGTCCTTTCTGCTACGTGTATCTGTAGATGGAGACCATTCCACGCTACCATTTCTGTTTCTATTCTTAGCCCGGGATCCCACGGACGAAAAGTCATCATAAATAGACAGTCAACCTATGTACACAAATGACTAGTATAATAATAGACCCATCAATTGTATATAACCACCATTCCTACAATCCCACCATGCTAATCGATCCCTCAAAAAACTAAAAGTTCCACCCAAACGTAGCCGAGATCTGACCCTCGACTACGGAGTAATATTTCCCTGGAACCCCAACTCCAGAACTATCGACGACAGAACCTTGGGAGCATAGGCCAACCGAGCTACATCTGAACCACGGTTGACCCCGAAAATGTCTCATAACACGATGTTTAAAAACTGGGGCCGGGTTCTCCTTGGCATGGACGTTTTCATATTAGCTCTTGTTGCCATCCGTGGATGGGATTATTTGCTGTGCTTGCTATTTTCCGAGGCGGGCGTTCTCGATCAAGAGTTGTTCGATCGATTTATGGATAAGGTTTGTTTGGGAGATGGATAGATACACTGGGTGTAATTCATTATGTATCGGGCATGGTTCATATATCTTCTGAATTGGTTTACCAAGTGTGCATGGGGGTGTTCACCTATTATATGTCTGACAACGAGACGAAGCCCTAAGACTGGGTACATCAACACTCAACATCTTCTGTCCTATCATCCCCAGATCCACAGGAGGGAGAGAGAGAGAGAGAGAAAGAGGGAAGATGAAGAGATCATTCCTCCCAAAAACCACCTTAGACTCAACCTCGCACATATATCGGCGAAACCAACCCATGAATCCCCACAGATCAACACCACCACATGGTTAAGCCGATCCAGATAAGATAGTCTAGTCAATCAATACCTCAATCGTCGTCTTTCCAAGCCGGCAAACCCATCCAACCAATCAATCACCGTATCTCCCATCTAACGTACTTGGTATCTAGCGATCATCACTTCCTCTTCCGCCCATCAGCAAGCAGCATCCCCGTCTCGCGTTCCTGTCGCCGAATGTACCAAAAACAGATCCCGTAGAGCAGGTCAAAGCCGAGGAAGGTAGCACAGCACCAGAGCATGAGGGGCTGGCCCAGGAAACCGAACTTCTCGGGCCAGTATTTCACGCGCAGGTAGAATTCGGGGACGAGGGTTAGGGAGCCTGAGAAGCGGAAGAACCTGTTTTCATCATTCAGTGGGTATTGTTTTGGGTTGTGGTTCTTGCTTTTTTCTGTCTTTATGATGGAGGTGAGGATAAAGGGGGGGGTATACACCCACCACAAATCCATCGCAAATCCCCTCGTACTTCCCCGGTGGATTAAGTTCCCAAGATATCCCACGCTCAGCACCGCCTGGCACACAATCGCGTTGATGAAGAACGCCTTCTCAGTTCCCAGCTCTGAGGCTGCGCACAGATGCAGCGCAACAGAGACTGCTGTCCCGACCACATAGTACCAGAGGAGATGGCGCTGTACCAGGGGGGAGCGGTCCCACTCTCGTGCACCGTGGGAGATGGCCGCCCAGACGACAATGCAGTTTAGGGGCACGGTGACGAGGAAGGTCGCGCAGACCTTCCAGTCGTGGATGAACATGAGGCCGAAGGTTAGTTCCCAGGCGATGTTGAGACATTGAGAGTAGAGGGGCATGGCGTAGGACTTGTCTTTGATGGAGCGGTAGATCATACCGAAGTAGACGTAGAGCCAGGAGGCGTTATTATAGAGGTTTAGGCAGATCATTGGAGTGGTGTAGGCTTGGATTTCGGGGGGTCCGTTGGTGAGGTCGAAGCTCTCCATCTTGCTGGTTGTTTGGTGGTTGGTAGTGCGGATATGGGCTCTATGAGGGTTGGTATAGTATCTCCTGGGGCCCCCTTTATACTATAAGGTCGGAACAGTCGATTGCATAACCAGCATAACTCATCTTAACCTGTACTCCATCACTTGTGCTACAATCATCTCCATATTGGGATGACGAGAGATACACAATCCAGCATTCGGAGAAACTCTCAGGCGCATGACATCCAAGCCGACTAGTCCGAATCCCAATCTCTTGTCCCCCTCATTCGAGGGCTTAATTCTCATTGCTCGTGTACCGCGCTCATGGCTGATCGTGGCGTCCAAGTTGGGGAGTCAATACGATGTCCCCGTCAGATATTGCCAATGTATCCCAGACTAGTAGATGCTTTAGTTTGACGCAGTGTGTCATAAGGTCCTCAAGCTGAGGTTGGAGTCTCCAGTCGTGCCGGGAGGTCAGATCGTATGTGGAAGTATATACAGACATCCAGGCACCGTGCACCGTGCACCGTGCACCGGACAGGTCGGAAAGACGCTGTACCGAATGCGAGACGGATATACAGGGATTGACCAGGTTTGTTGACAAACTCCAGCGACTGAGGCAGACTCGATTGTCGATGAGAGTGACAGTTGTCATTCTAATGGCGTGCGGGGTCAGTAGTCAGATTTCAAATTAACCCAGACCGTGGATGTATATATGTATGAATGCATGTACAAAACCTGAAGGTTAAGGTACGGTGGTTGGGCAGAAGGGAAGAGGGTCACGCGTTTCTATAGAAGCGCCACTGCAATCAATGAACGAACACAACGACTCTCCGCCCAACTCAGTAAGTAAACGTAAACGCCGGATGATCGTCCCCAAGATTCTCCAACTCCTCCCTGGGCAACTGATACCGATAATCCCTCCCACCTCTTCCCCTCACCCGATTCTCCCTAACCAAATAGCCCAGAAACAGCACACAGGCAATCCCACAAATCCACGTCATGCCCAGACTAACCCCATACCCGGTGCGATACCCCGGCGCTTCCTCCTCAAAGAAGATATTACTGGCGACCAGCCACCGCAATTCCCGAACCCGATCTGCATTGCCGATGCGATGCTCTGCTTGTAATGGCCTGCCATGTTGTTGCTAAGCCAGCCCATGAGGATTGGCTGCGTCAGGTACCCGCCGCTGGTGACGGCGAAGATGGCGAAGTAGCGCGCGCCGACTGGGACGGTGGATTGCGTCAACAGGATTACGTAGCCCATTGTGGCTACCAGGCAGCCGGTGAGAGTGAAGAGGTAGCGGTGGCGGAGGAGGTCGCTGAGGAGGGCGGCGGAGAGTGTGGTGATAGTTGCGACGACGTATACTGGGATGCTCATTACTTGAGCGCGGACTGCGGTCCAGCCGAGTTGGTGGAGGATGGTGGGGGTGAAGAAGGAGACGGCGTAGCCGGTGTTTACGATGCCGAAGTACATTATCGGACTGTTTTGTTGGGTTTGTTAGTGAAGTTCATTTGGGATCACGAGCAATCTCCGTTCGGCGATAGATCTGATGTTTCAGAAAGGAAGAGATAGGGATGATGGTACTAACCCAAGGTAGATCTTTGGATCCGAGAATGTTCGTCGCATCGACTTCTTATCGAGTCGATTCATTCGTGCTTCGCCCTGGTCTTCTTTCAGACGGGCGAGAAGTAGAGCTCGCTCACCATCATCCAGGAACTTGGCCGACTCAGGCCAGTCCACGATGATGAATTTGGATATCACTGCTATCACGACTGTGGCCAGGCCTTCGATGATGAAAATCCAGCGCCAGCCTTCGTACCCGGCTATTCCGGACATGTTGTTGATAGCGTAGGCGAGGAGCTGCAATAATACTAGCATCAGCACACATCACATATCAGTCCAAGGTGTAGGGTGTAGAACAACATACACCACTCACCGCGCCAGCGATGATGCTAGCGCTAAAAAAGAGGTTGAGCCGCCATTGGAGTTCGTGACGACGATAGTACATATTTATTAGGTATACTGCGCCTAAATCGATGATTATTAGATGAAGGTAAGATAGAACGATGGTAGGGAGTGATAGCTTACCAGGCATGAAACCAGACTCGAAGAGTCCTATCAGTACTCGACAGACTACTAAGCCATTGAAACTGGCCGTGACGCCCTGACAGATCGTGATGGTACCTTTACAACGACCATCAGCATTGAAACGTTCAAGCAAAGCCTGCAGTCTTTCTCAGGCTGGGCAAGAATCCAAAGTCAATCAAGAAACGAACCCCATGCAAACATGATCCCACTCAACCACCACGATGGCTTCACCTTCTTCAGGATCATATTACTCGGCACCTCAAATAGGATATACGGGATGAAGAACACAAACAGCGCGATATTATACTGATGCCCGCTCATGCCCAGGTCATCTTCCAGGCCCATCAGCCGTGCATTGCCGATGTTGATACGGTCCAGGAAGGCGAACATGAAGAGAAGAGTGAGGATGGGGACGACGTGGAGGTCACACTTGCGGAGAAGTCGTTTCTCGGCATCGCGATCGGATATGTCTGGTGTTTCCGAGGAGGTTTTGATGTCTTCTATTGTGCAATCGTCTACTTTTTCGGGGCCTTTAGACATGGTTTATGGGTGTAGGTGTTCGTCTCCTGGGGGAAGTGGAGTGGTTGTAGGGTTACATTTACATTGTATGGTCATCGGGTCATTTTTATGCACGTCGAGCTGCAATGCCAGCTCCGGTTTATCCCCCGCGATGTTCAGCTCTCCCCGCAGAACTCAAAGCCGTAGAAATTCAAAATTCCGCATTTCTTACCGGTCTTCCGCCCTGGGGGGATGTTGTTCGCCAAGAAGGCGCACGGGTCTATTCGACGAAGACTTTAAGCGAGAGGATGAATGGAAAATGAGGGCGGCGAGCTTAAGTCTATTTTATAACGACGGGTCGTGGATTGGTCCGCAGATCGCCCAAGAGTGCGGGGAAATTCCATGGCGATGCTGTTCTAAAATCCGGGGTTGGAGATGTATTTGGACTGCGGAACGGTGTTCCGCTCAAATGCCAGAGATGTAAGGCGCCAAAGGGGGAAGAAAGCTCCCCCAGGTTGGTCAGACCCAACTCCTCCTTTATATGAGATATTATCGCCTATAAACTGTCCTCCTCCACTCAACTGCTCCACCCGAATCCCCATGACTGCCAGTCCTGGTCGTTTTATATTCCGCGTTGCATTCCCAGGATGATATTGCCACGCCTTCAAGGCGGAACACATATTCGTAGCTGTAATCAGGGTGGCTATCCTCCGATTTAAGCTCCCCTTTAGCTCGGACAACATATTCCTCGCGCCCTGATCCTCCATATTCGAGGCATGGAGAACCCACGAGTCTCAATTCGTGCGATGATTGAGGAGCTTCTTCCAGCTCTACACCCGAATTCGAATTGAGAATGAATATTTGCACCTCGCCACTAGTGGTGTTAGTTTTGCCAAGCCGATAGATCGATCGAGCCGATGGCCTCGGCGTTCCATCGACTCTCTTGGCCTCGTCGTAGGTATATTCCCTTTCATACTTCGGATATGTGGGATAGGTAGGAGAAAACCTTGCCGTGCCTGTTTCCTCGCTGTCGTATATCGAACAGACCCGTGAATAATTCCAAGTTCCGTGCAACGCTCTGAAAATAGCCCTGGTTAACCCGGCTCTGGAGGTATCACTGTCGTAGGTGAGCGTGTCTCTTAAAGAAGCCAGGGCAAATTGTGACTCGGCCAGCATTGAAGGCTTCGTTTGTCCTTCAGCCATATACCGAGTAGGGAGAACCGGTCCAAGTCTTTCCCCAGCCTCTGGAAGTGGGGTCCGAGGGATTCCCATGTCCCTAGCAAGAGTCTCCATCAACCCCACGTAATCCCCCATGGGGAACTGACCCCGCGAGTTTGGATCCACACTCTTGTAGTCACGCATGCTTTGTCTTTCCTGCGCCTTGTTCTCCAATTCCTCCACTGAGAATTGGATCCCTTGCTCGGAATCAGCTCGATACCAAGATTCTGCAACTCTCCGCGCTTGCATTTCCATGACTCCCCAATAGGGCCCTCGGTAGAGTCCCACGAATCCTAGATCCGGGACTTCTGCATTGGAGGTGCCTTTTTCATCCAGAATGAGAGGGAAGTAAGAGTCTTCGGCTGAATACTCAAGTTTGGAAAGTACGTCTTCTGGAAGAAATGAGAGGGAGGCAAATGGCGTGAACCCCGTGGCTGTGATTATAGCTGCGACGTTTTCGAGAGTGGTCATTTCACCACCAGGACCCTTAATATCAATGTTTGCCTGGCCGGACTGTGTGCAATTTACAGCACAAACACGTCCGATCGTAGGACGTACTGAGCCCGATTGCACGTACTCTGCGTAGTCGTCGCTTATGGCTATCAATGAAGGTTGTGTATCATTTGTACCATCGCGAGAGCCAACGCCGATATTCCCATAACCTGCATGTTGGCTACCTAGCAGAGAAAGAAAGTATTCATTAAACTTGGTCTCTTGCTGCGACGAGACAGGCCCAAAGGTATACTGGACTGGTCCCGGGGGACGTCTGGCCAGATCATGCAGGACAAGGTCCAGGGGTAGGAACTGGACAGATTTTGCCTGGGTGTCGTCTTGCGCAGCAGCGTATGGCAGATAATAGGGTATAGTCCAGAAGGGTCGTGTACAGATATGATGGACTTCGTAGCCACGATAATGGGAGGCAGTAGCACTCATACTGGAAAGAAAAAGTGCAAGCGCCGAGGCAGCCTCAGCGCCCGATATACTCCCTCCAATGACAACCAATTTACCATTACCACTCTTGGTGGCACCACAATTTTCAAGCATAAGGCGTATATCCTCCTTAGTGTGAATGGCGGAGCTGTGAAACACTCTCTCGGCAAAACTAGGTAATCCTGGGATATCTGGGGTATACGGCGTTGAGAAGTAGCCAGAAGCGACAACGAGGTAGTCAAAGGTTTCTGACTGCACTCCCTGGTCGGTTGAGCTTTCTTTTCTCCCATTATCCCTGTCCCTTCCAGTTAACACTCGTCAAAGAATGCATGACCGAGACAAACCTTTCCAAGATCCATTGTATGGCCCACGACGGTCTCGAGCTTCCGCTCGTCTCTCGCGTCGATCTAACCACCTTATGTCCCAGCCTCAGAGCCTCCTGAGGTATATAGCGTTCCGCATATGTCTGCAAGTACTTGCCCGCTTGCCAGGCCTGCGGGAACATAGGAATATCCGGGCCATCAATGACTGACTCCCAAGCTAGATCAGAGAAGGTCACGGTGAATCGACTCTGATTCGTCGGCATCGACGGGTCCACGAACCCATCGCGAGGGCGTTGTCGAGGGGTTGTTGTTCCATTAGTGGTGTCTTGGGGATCAATCGGCCAAAGACCACCTATTTCATGACTCTTCTCGAAGATGGTGGGAGAAAAGGTTCCCTTGGGGTAATTGTGAAGGAGGGTTTTGGCGGCCACTAACCCCGAGGGCCCCGCTCCTGAGGTCAGTCAGCAGATGATCTTATCGGTAATTCAGTGAGACAATTTCTCCTCTGTGAGGATGCTGGTATGATACCAACCAATTATAGCAACTTTCTTCGGTCGGGACATCACTGCTGTGGGCTTCTCGAGGTCATGACATTGTATTATTGTTGCGCCCCGAACATTAATTACCCCTCCTTTTAGTGGATCGAGGGGACCTGACCCGGTGGCCTTGGACTTTGCCTAAGGCGGCTTAATGTGGACGCTGCTGCATATTCCTGCATGCTGTGGCAGCTTTCTACTGCATATTCTGCCGGGACAGCATGAGTGATGTACACAAGCGGCTATGTATATATAAATGTATGTATGTATATATCTCTTTGCGGTGAGATATGCTCCTCTATCCAATGACCATTCAGGCAACAAACAACCAAAAATTGAACAAGTGCTATTAATTAGTAGGAAAGTAACTGTCTACAGTTGAACTCCATCCATGCAGCGGGTATCGGCTAACAAATCAAAGTGTAAAGAAGAGGAAAAATAAGGTAATAATAAAGATAGGAGCATATAGGGAGCAAGAAATGAAGGTAGGGAAGAAAAGAATAAAAGACGCGGCCCGAGCCGCGGATCGAACGCGGGACCTTTCGCAGGTATGCTTGGGCTGGGCTTCTTGCTGAAAAGACTGCCTTGTGGGAGGAGGCAGGATGTCGGTATCGCACAGTAAGGCTTGCAGCACTGTGCATGACTTGGCGGCCGAGCCCAGTGCAGTGACGTTGGTGCCAAGGATAGATTTCGAACTCCACTGCAACATAGCCCCTTAACACCATACCATGCATTTCCCAACTGAGACTTTTGGGAGGAATTTCCCATGGCATTCCCGGTCCCCGACGCGTAAGCGACTGATGATCAATACCGACTTTTGGGCAGAGGTCGAGTCGTTCCAATAAAGCATGTCGACGACAAGAGCTAATAAGAATCGAGGGTAAGGCGAAAGTGTCGTCGATCATCGGAAGGCTGTCAATATGCCAGTCGCTCAAGCCACGCGGAGACATGCAACTCGTTGCTATGCTTCTCGGGGTAACAGGCTTCGGTGAACTGCTGTTCCGTGACGAACGTGTCGACGTTTCTTTCCGTCAAGGGAATCTTGTAACGGTTCTTCTGCCTCAAGAGTTCCCTCTCTGCGCGTGCTGAAGGTGACAGCTTATGTAGAGTGTTGCGGATTCGCCGGATGCCGCCCTCGGGGAAGTGTATGTGTGAAATGCGAGGCGGGCCGAACGGCGTCTCAACCCGCCAGGGGTCCTCAGAGGCGATAGACCGAGCGTTCTTCTTGCGTTGTTGGGAACGGAATTTGTTGGACATCTTGACGATTAGATGAGACCGGAAAACGTAGAGTGGAGAGGTTGGCAATGTTCGTAACTCAAGCAGAGCAGCAAGAAAAGGGGGGTGGTGAGGAAGGCTCGAGGGTGTAATATATATGTTGGCGGGTCCACTGGAGGGGCTCACTTAGTGACTTTGGGCGAGACGTGAATCCCGCCGCAAGAGCAATGGGAGGTGCGGGGACTCTTTCGCTCTAAACCTTGCGCAGGGCGACTTCCCAATGCAGCGGCTCCGAGGAGATACTAGTTCGTAGCATGCCGAGAAGATGTGGAGAGTGACACCCAGGGATTTGCAACCTGGCCTGCCATCGACTTGGCAGTTAAAGTAAAGTTCTGGTGATCGTTGACATTGACTTTGCCTTCACTGTGTCGATTTCCCGGACGATCTTGACCAGGAGACAATTCACTGCGGCTTTGCAGTTCCACCACAAGGTGTTACTGGGGTATGATTGTTGCTGCGATAATAGCCGGATGGTGCTCAGAGAGCTATAACATCATTGGATGACTTGGACATCCCCCGCTTGTTACTAGTCGATCCATCACCATGTCGATCATCAGGAATGGACTCGAACCAAGACTTTGGGGGTGATTTGGCTGAAGGACAAGAGTAACAACGTACATACACGATCACGTGGCACTGCAAAGCCCCAGTCGAATCAGTACATGAATCATCACAGTTGTGTCGCGCAGCTTAATGTGCCTGGTTTCCTTCTGCATGTTCTACACAGCCAGCCGAAGTGGGTGGCGTTGAATGAAGTAAGGTTGACTTGCTCTACCAGTTAAGCCCTGCGTAGTTATGGTAAGCCCCCGTCATTACGAAGGACCCGTCCGCAATCGGATAAGGATACACGGTGCATGAGGGATGTCTTGGCGTGGTAGTGATCACCGTCATGGGGTTCACACAATGGGGGCTAATTATAGTATGACTTACCTCTGACTACAATAATACAATTTGAGTTGTACAGGACACAGGCAACTGTTATATTAGAAGTAGTGGTTTGGCCATCAGTTATGAAAAACCGATAGAAGATAAGGAAGAGAGATGTATCGTTGGGTATCTTTTTTTTTTTTTTTTTTTTCACTTCGTAGTACACAAACGTCATATTAACCGAAAGTGGAGTCAGATTCTATCATTCACCCATCAAACTTTTGTCCACGGGTACATACAAGTATTTGGTTCTGATGTTTTATCTTCTTCGGTAATCCTTCCCTCTTGAATTTGCAGACCATTTGATCACCAAAAGGTCATGCTAGAAAGGCCTGGAACACGTCTAGAAAGCAGAGAAGAATTTCCGAGTGCGGGGTATGTAACGAACAGCCCTCCATGGGTGTCTAGAATGACCCTGCGATTTAATTAACATCTCCGAGGGAGGGTGCGTCGGGAACGCGGCAAATCTTCTGATTGGATAGTGAAAGTCAGAAGACTCAACATGCATCCTACCAGTCGTAGTCAATCCGATCCTTGGGAAGTGTGGAACTCCTTTGGGAAGGCAAACATGCGTGCACAATCGCCGTCTCTTCATTGGAAGTCCCGGTCGATTGACTTTGGGATAGGATTTTGGTCCGCAGGTTGCAGTGCACTGGATGAGCCCTGGAGTATGTATACTACTGCTTGTAGTAGTAGTAATACTACCCAGCCTTATAGCTTGTAAACAGTCCTTTTCTCTTTCCTATGTCTGTCACTAGACTCCACTCCATGGCGGATTTATTCTTATACTACGGTCAAAGCTCCTACCTAGCAATGGATCTGGCCCGACTCGAAATGTGCGCTGGATCTGAGAAATAATCGCAGTCATAAGCATACAGTTATACCACCGCACTCATCACTTGATACACATTATATGGCATTAATCATTTCTAGTCGTCCGATGCAAAACAGGAACCCGTACACTTTGGAGAATAATTAATTAAAGGGCAGAAGGAACTTTTCTTGCCAGATACGTATTCCTCTAATACATATCAGGCCGAAGCCGCCGATTCTGCGAGTCAACCTCTACGAAATTAATAAATCTTTGACACTCATCCCGATCTTTCTTTGAGTGTCTTGCAAGGAGTACTGACGATCTTCCAGGATAGGCTTAGCATGCTCTTCATGCGGCGAGCCTACACTGCCGCGACAATCCCGATTCAACATGAGCAGTGCAGCCGATGCTTCATGGTCCATCTCTGCTGAAGACGCATGCCGAATCTGCGGCTGGAGCACCGGTGAAGGATTGGTAGATGTTGCTGCCCAGGATCCACGGGACGACCGTAGAGCGCCATCGCAAGGGTGGGTCGGGCCCAACGCTGGACTCGGTAGGATTGAAGAGAAATCTATAGCTGTGCCCGTTGAGGGGATACGACTGCGAGGCGAAAACGCCGGTGAGGTTACGTTGGTGGGACATCCACTGGGCAGTATGTCGGGAGATACGGAAGCCGAGTATGTACTGCCGGCAACTTCTCCTAGCACCTCGGGTGACGACGGCGAGGGAGGAGCAGGTGGCATGCGTTGGGGAACAGTCGTTTGACTGTCCCCCGCAGTTTTAAGATCATGTATACATTGCTCTAGGTAATTGACGTAGTCGATGCTTGCCTAGAGTCCAAGACCCATTAGTTAACCAAATTAGGATATGTAATGCGAGTGATTACCAACCTGCAAAATGGCAAGCTTGTGCATATCCTGACCCCTACAAGCCGGGATCATGTCTTTCAGGGTTGCAAATTCTTCATTCATCTTAGACCTCCTTCGCCGTTCAATCAAGCTATGCGCCGTCTTGCGAGCAATCTTTCGACCGGCAGCGCTCGTAGCACTTGGCTGTTTCTTCTTGGAAGCGGCAGGAGACGTATTGTTATTGTTGGAGGTGCTTTTGCCACTTTCCTTGGAGGGCTTATTAGTGGTGGGTGCTGGCTTGGTTTGACCTTGAGTCTGTGTCTTGGGTTTCATTTGGATGATTTTGCGGGTGCGAGTGGGAGGGGGTGGGAGGTCAAAGTCTTCTAGTGGTCGTTTGATACCCGTTTGACGGGGAGGGTTTGTACCGCGTCTCATATTGAGATCTGGAGAAGTTGGGGAAGCGGGAAAATAAGCCGACTGGTCCGACTTGGATGACCTGCGACTGGCACTTTCCATCTTGGCTGGACTCATAGCAGCTGGCGGCAATGCAAATGAGTCGACAGCATCCACGGGCACTTGGTCCTTGACTATCAACTCTCCCGACATTGCCGGAGTGGGTGGTAGACGAGAACGTGACATCTCTTATGTTCAGAGGAAGTGGGAATGTCTCCAAGAAGGTCTGATGACACTTCACCTTGAAAGAGAAAAGGAGGAACTGAGACAGAACTGAGGACTAGACCAGTATAGTAGGACTATAGTAGGACTATGTAGGACAGGACCGGGGGTCTCGTCTGAGTGATAAAGAGACGTGGAGTGAACAATGCAGTGCGTGAAGGACGAACAGGTAGGTAAGACGAGGAATCAGCAGGCAAAGGGGTAGATAAGAGCGAGCAGGGAGGGTTTATCTCCTCAAAAGGTACATGGGAGAGATTACCCCGAAGGATCAGAGCACGAATAAATTGGATGAACGGATCCAAGGAAAGGCACCGGCATGGTGGAGAGCAACGGGAAAGAGCCGGAAAGGATATTTGGGTGCAGAAAAGGGCAGAGGACGTTTGAAGGGAGTGGGATTGCGGCGATAGAACGACCAGCAGCTGGATGATCGACGGGACTGGGAATTGGGGATCGAGGGAAGCTGTTGCTTTAGGTTGACCTCTGGGACTGGTGTCGCGTGCTTGGAGAGCCCACGCGGTACCATTTCCCTCTCTGATTGGGCAGGGGTCGTAGGGGATCACGGGAAGGGGGGCACGAGACTTGGGCTGGCCAGAGCCAACTCTCCTATCGCTTTGGGGCTCGTGCTCAGCTTCACTCTTCTTACTCCCTGGTTTCAGTGCAGTGATCCTTCCATTTGCAACAACCCCTCCCTCTGCTCCTCTTGGGAACGGAGCCATGAGGGTGGAATGGACATGCTGATTGGTACTACCACTTTAAACGTCCCTGAAGTTAAACTATCCAATTCCGACGGTTACCACTAGTCGCACCGCAGACATCCTGATGTCCATACATACATCTGCATGGCATGTGTCCTCTTTCTCCTTTCCACTTCCGGTACGACATCAACAATAGACGAAATGGGATCAATCCAACCAAGGATGCTCCACCCTATCCATGTATATTACATCACATATTATGGAATCCAAATCGCACAATCCCCTGTAGCCCTAGTTCTCTGTTGCTGTACCCCTATCGCTCATGGATGATCCCCCAAGGCACCTACTTAGGTAGTAGTAGTCCTATGGCGAATCGCCCGTCCAGACGGGCATCAAAGCACGTGCGCACCCTCCATCCAACCAGTGGATCTTCTCCAATCCTTCCGGAGAACTTTACAGGGAGCCACTGCGCTTGGGATATTGCCAATCCACCCCCGATCCTTCTGCCATTGGCTAACAACGCTTAATACACCCGGAATATGAGTCCCAGCTTTGCCACTGTTAGCGATCGTCTCACATTGCGCGAAATATAGTGCGCTTTTAAAAGCAGACCAAAGCCACGTACCAGAAGTTCGCTTCACTAGGGAGGGCCACTACACAAACCAGGCCGCCTAGCGCACAGGCCTGAGTGCAATTTGACATCCCGCCGGTACTCAGTGTCCCGTTGGTCGGCGTCGCATTGAGACTCGTGCTGTCAGTAGTATTGGGCTCTTGAACCCCCGTGCGAAGAACGGAGGTCGAATTGAGGACGCCAATGAGTGCGTTGAGGAGGCTTTGCTTGTTCATTGTAGATGTTGGGGACCCGGGAAGTCGAAAGCAGCTGCCTAGATGTGTTTTATCTAATTAATTTATTCTTCGTCCTCCAAATCAATATTCAGGTAGGTATAGCAAGTACCGTACAATACCTCTCCGCAACTCTCCTTATATAGACCTTCCCTTTCCCCAAAGGTAAGCTTTCTATAAACAAACGTATCCCCCACCTGGCTTCCCATCAATCCCTCCACATTCCTGTACTATTTGCCGGATTCTCTCATCGATGTAGGTGACCACCTATGGCATTGATATCATTCTTGGGCGCTTCGCCTTCCAAGGTGGGCACAAAGTTGGTAGTGTGCTGCGTATCTTCTGACCAATCGGGACATTATATTAGTTCGAGTTGTCCGCTTGTCAACGCCCTACAGGCCCAGAACCCGACGCCACTCGGTATATCTAACTGGGGCATGGAATGTCAATGGCTGCCGTCCACTGACGGACAGTAGCTCAAGGCATTGCTACCATTAAGGAACCAAGTTGGGCCTGATAGTTCACGAACGATCAGGTATGCAGTATGTCATATTCCATGGTTTACCGCGTCAACATCACACACCGACACTTTTCTGAAATCGCATACTCTTCCCAGATGACAGGGGGGAGAGAGGGAGAGAGAGAGAGAGATTTATTTATCCTAGCCTCTCGAAAGCTTGGACCGAGAATAACTTCAGCTAGTCTAGACTTCAGTTCTTGCATTCCATCTTGACATTGAAGCTTCGAGAGAAGCCTCTACCAAGTATACAACGAGAAACCACTTTACCGTCTTGGTTTGTTGTCATGGACGATGTGGGTTTCAGGCAAGAATTTGTGGCGGCTGCAACGCTGTCACCAAAGCTTGATTGCTACGCCTATTGAAGTGTCATTGGTAACATTCTGGCCAACAATTGAACGGAGACTAAGACTATTTCTCTCGAATATGTATCAAGTATGCTATATAATCCTTATCTCTATTATTGTTCAGTACATACGACCATAGGGTGTGGAGAACAGGGCTTCCCG